CTGGAAAGACCCCAGATGCGATGTAGGCTTTGGTTCCTGCCTAATTGCAGGGTTTTTAATGATCCCAAAGGGAAGCAGTGGGGCAAGCAAGGATTTTGCAGATCACATAGGTCTGAGTTTTCAAACCAAGTCAGGACTACCCTTTCTAACACCCAGGAGGAGCTGCCCACGCTTTCCCGTCCACGAAACACCCCAATAAGCACACACACAATGGACAGTCCCATCAGGAGCTGCTCATATGGGGACATTAGGGATTCCCTGCAGGAGATAAGAGGAGGAAGGTCTCCTGTTTGTAAGATGCCAGGCTCTCTTTAACCTCCTCCAGGAGCTCCTAAGTGCCATCAGATCTTGCTCACTACTATTGAGGTTTGGACTTTAAGGAGAAAGATGACAGGTGACATACCTAATTCTTTACCTAAGGTAGGAAAATTTCATATAGAGACCAGAAAGCAACCCTTATTTGCCCCAGGTTATGCCGGGGAGCTCTCACTGCAGCATTGCTCTGCTCTCAAAGATGCACAGACCAGGGCAAACATAGAGAACTGGGACAAACACAGATGGAGCAGTGAGGAGTTGGAAAGCAGCACACCTTCCCCTGGTACATATGGGTCTACGCCAGGAGGAAGGAGAGTCACTGAAACTGAGCTCAACTCCCATGGCCACTTGGTTTTTAAACCCCCAAATGAAGCAAATCCAAAGCCAAATTCCTTTTCTCCACAAGCCCAGCTGTTCTTTGGGCCTGGGGGACCATTGCTGGGAGGGATGGAGCTTGTAGTGGAGGCAGAGGTCAATGGAGAGGCTTCAGAGCCTACCCCTGGGCAATTACTCACAGCTTTTTATCAGTCCCTGGGCTTTCCTGCTCACTATATCCGACCACAAACACAAGAAATGATTTATTGAGTTACTCCTGCCCTAAGAGAGGTTCAAGGGCAGGAAGGCTGTGCCAACCAACATGAATCCTGCAGCTGCTTTGACCCTATATGTCTAGCCCTTTTTCCGCACCAGGGACCTCCTTCTGCAGCCACTCCAAGCAGAATCTCAGCCCTGCCGAGGAGATGCTATGCTTGGCCAGCAGAGCCAGCCAGGCATGAAGCAAAGCTCCCAGTAACGACTGGCAGCTTGGAGGATGTGTCCTGCAGTGAGAGATTTATGAACCTCAGCCCACTTAACGCAGCAGAGGTTAAGAAAAAACTCGTTCATGGGTCTATAAATGCCTCTCCACTGTAGAGAATGGACACTAGATGATTTCTTAATCTAGCGGGCAAAGAAAAGCATTTTGGGGCTGAAAAGGGAAACATCACAAAAAATACAGCAATGAAGTGATTGAGCATTCAGGAGTAAGGAAGGAGTGCGTGTGTTGAGAGCAATGGGGACAGAAAAACAATGGAAAAGTTTAAAGACAGGAAAATCCTCAGCATTTTCAACTAGCTATGTCCTGATTCAATTTTTTTTTCTTTTTTTTTTTTTCTTTTTCTTTTTTTTTTTGAATGAAGCAGGTCTCATTTCTATTCAGTTTCAAGCTCTTCGCTGGAATGAATTGGTGAAATCCTCTTGATGAGGCTGATCAGACTTGTTCGTCATAAAAATCCCTCCAGCCCTGAAGCCATCTGCTCTACCAGGGAACACACAATGTATTTCAGGAACACACGATTAGCTCGGTTTTGCAGTCTGCATCATGAATCCCCCCAAGATTGGGGGTCTGAAGAAGAGGAGGACCAGCATTTGTTTCACAGCTGCCTCTCTGGGCTACCACGACGTGACAGCGAAGCAGTGGTCTTCCAGGAACAGATTACAATGAGACAGGGCTAATTAGACGTTCATTAAGTACCTAACTCAGCACAGCACTTAAGCACACATTTAACCTTCTCTCATTACAGTGTCACATCAACGTCCCATTTAAAGCTCCAGCTCTTGTTACAGTGAAACCAGCTTACATCTGGGAGGGCCACCAGGATTTCCAGACCTTCGAGCTCCAGGACCCCGTATTTCAGGATGCTTTCTCATCTGCTGCCCCACGGGGCCCCTACCCCTAACCTATGGGGGAGCCTATCCCAGGAATCTTGGTTTTCTTTCCCAAAAGGGAATTTGCCTCTAAACTTTAGGACCTACAACCAGTCTCTGCCTTCTTCCCACCCTGCTTTAAGCAGACAGAGGAGATCTGATGCTGCCCAAAAATATTTCTTTTGTTTAGTTATCTTCTAGAGAAATACAAATTAAATAAATAAATATCCCTCTTCAAAGTCTTTCTGGTGCAGCAGCTCGAGACAGCTAGAGCAAGGAGTGTTGCTGTGGGGAGTGGGCTGCAGCTATCAATATATCTCCAGCCTTGTCTTGCTGATCACCAGGACAAGCTCCATGCGCAACAAGACCCCAGAATATCTCCTGCCGCCTCTGTACCCTGACAGATTCTTCTTGCTCCCACCACCGCCTGCCGTAACCTCTGCAATGTCTGCGTGGGATGCAGGGTGCAAAGGAGGTGGCTCGCCAAACCCAGGAAGCAAATTTGGAAGCAAAAGCTCTTTTTCCCCCAGGCATTGATGCTATGGACAAAGAGGGGATACGAAGGCAGTTTTGGCAGAGCCACTTTGTGAAGACCCTTTCTAATTGTCCACCGATGCTCTTTGGCTACCAAAGTCGATGTCCAGATCTGTTCTTGGACTGCTCTTGAGCATCTCCAGAGAGCAGGGAGAGGAGAGCATCTTGCCCAACACATTGCCACGTGGGTGCATTCTCCATCCTTCAGGAATGGAAAATATCCCAGGTAGAGAGGAGGCACACTGCGATAAAAAAAGGCTCCACATTTTGTGGTGTCTGGATATCTGACAATTCCTTACATGCCTTGAAAGTTATCAGACCAGACTAGTACAGCACACACATACACCCTTGTTCAAAGACAAAAGTGTCAAGACAGGCTCCGAAAAAAACAAATGACTCAGGAAGCAGCAGAAAAAAAAAAAAAAAGTCGTTAAAAAGAAGAAGAATGTTACAAATACAATCATACAATCAGGACAACAATAACAGCATTAACCAGCAGCAGTGCTCAGAAATCAGAAACCCTATCAAAATATTCCACCCACAGAACTCTGTTAAGGGATCGCTGGCTCGCTGTCCAAATTGGATCTCGCCTCCATCTTCCTGATCAAGCCTTTGCAAAAATCAAAACAGACACAGTGACAGACAGAGCAGCACATGGAGAGGCCGGGTGCCCTGCAAGCTTTGTTTCCACGTAGATGGCATCCCACCAGTAAAGATGCTAATTCTTTGTCTTCAGCACGGAGCAGATGTGAGCAGCCAGCAAATAATAATAACAATAATAATAATAAAATAAAGTAATCTACACTCTCTACAAATATTTGACACCCCAAAAGGATTTAGATTCAGCCACCTTTGAGCCTCTTCCATATTTATTTTCTGGGAACATTTGAACACTCAAGCTGGACTAGGAGAGATCTTTACAAAAGCCTATATTAAGCCTGAACGCCTCAGGATTTGCTGAAAATCTTTTTTCAAATTTCACCTTTGGTTGCGATGAAAAAGGTCACGCTGCTCGGGTTGAATGCATAAATCTTCCAATCAGCCAAGGCAGAGCGTGGCACCTGACTGAAGGAGGCTCGCATCGCTCTGAGGAGGCGGGCAGCGCAGTGCTGCTAGCAAGCTGTTTGCACAGGAGGAGCAAAACTGCAAAAAAAATAAATAAATCTGGGATCTGGGGAGCGACCGGCCCCCTGTGCTCATGGCCAGAGTGAGGGGCATGGTGAGGAACTAATTTGTAGGATTTACAGCTCATCTGTGTGACTCCACATATTGATTCACAGAGCGGCGAGAAGCAAAATCTCCCCGGAAATACACCGACGGAAGCACTGATACCTGATCATATCCTAATCTCTGCAAGAAAACCACTCTGCCTGATAACCTCCTGCCTACCGCAAGCACATTTTGCCTCCTTCCACCTGCAGAAATTCTCCCCCTGCTTGGTAGGAGGACTGCAAAAGCTTGGCAGAAGCCCCCACGGCCAGCCCAAACGGGAGGCTGCCCTCCACACTGCCCAAACTCCCATTTAGCATCACACCCCCGCTTTACATAAGCTGCCTGCTGGCAGGTGGGATGGGAGCAGATCTGACACAGCCCCTGAAATAGCGGCTCTGCTTTCTGACCCTCCAGTTCCCTCTTGCTTTGCACAGTGCTGTGACACTGGTGGGGATGGATGCAAGGAGAGTTTCTCTCCCCGGCACAGTGCAGCAGCAACACACCAGGATCAGACCTCAGGAGCATCTCGTCCCTGTTTCAACCTTTTCTTGTTTTCCTTTCTCAACCCTTTCTCATCTTCCTTCCTTATTCTCAACCCTTTCTCTTCCTCCTTCCCCATCCCTTTCATGCCTTCTTGGCAGGCACAGCCTACATCACATTCAACATCCCAAAGAGAACAAAACACGAACCAAATACCCAAGGAATGAGCCCAAACAAAGGCACCACGTAGCCCCGCACAAGTAATGTGGTGAACTCTCTTTTTGAAAGCCTCCAGAAGGAAAATGAAGCGGAGATCCTGAGAACAAAATGAGCATGCCTTCTTCTGCCTTTCTCTCAAACCAGCCCTGGAGATAAAGTTTTTCCCACGAATTTAAAGGGTTGATAGGGTTGCTGAGTGCAGCCCACCTCTGGAGTTAGCTTGCATCCTGCCTCTTCTAGGATGTTTCTAATTGCGTTGGGGAACTGCTTGCCCTCAGGTACAACTTACCCTCAGCTGCAATGAAGCTGCAGAAGTAAAACAAGTGAGGAAAGAGCCTGAGGAAGGAGTGAAACAATTTAGGGCACACTTAGGGGAAGCCACTCATGAAGAGCCATCAGGGGTTGCCAGATCTGCCTAGCAATTAGCGAGGAAGTTTTTCATAGCAGGCATTTGCAGACTCGGATACACACATGGTGGGAACAACATGAGACCCAGGAGGGGACAACCCAACCATCCCTTCCTTCCAAACCCCCCCGGCTGTCCCCTCACTCACCCATGAACTCCACTCCGCTGCTGTCCTTCGGGCTGCTCATGCAGTTCTCCAAGTAAATCCCATCCTTGTAACAATCTTCCTTCTTCTTTGCGAGCCCCAGGATCTCGCTGGCTTGATCCAGGACCTCCCCTCCCGAGCAAGAGCAGGGGGTCTGCATAATGCCACAGGGGTGGGAGCTGCTGCTGATGGCCAGGCACGCATCCAGCCACTTGCAGAGCATCTGGCACGCGGCTTTGCTAGGGTTCCTGTTGCCCACCACGAGGTATTCCACCGAGAAGTCCCTTTCCTGAGCTTTCATGGGCTTCCACCGCACGGGTCCGTTCTCCACCCCTGGTGGCGCAGTCTGCTTCATCTGGAGGAACTGTTTGTTGGACTGGAGGAAGGCGTAGCGGGTGGACCCATCACAGAGCTTCAGCACATCGTCGAAGCTCTCCATGCCCAGGTAGGTGCGGGTAGACTCCAGGAAGGAGTCGAACTGGTAGGTGCGGATGTGCTGGTGGTCACATACGCCGGTGGGTTTGAGGATCTTCATGTACAAGGTGTACCTCCGAGGGTCGGGGTTCTGGATAATCCAAGAGCAGAGAGAGGAGTTCAACGGGAAGACGGCGAAGGAGGAGAAATACCCAAAGAATTTCCCCTGGACCAAAGTGGTGCAGGGAGTTTGTGCCAGGTCCAGAGCGACCACGGTCCACACAAAGTAGAGTGGCGATACCAAAAGCAGGTTCAGGGCAGATCCAATGCTCCTCATCCTAGGTCTCTGGTCCTCTGGAACTCAAAGTAAATGTCAAGCAGGTGCCAGATCCTGGACATAACAGGGACCAGCTTAGAGGAAAAGTGAGAGTTTAAGAGGCTCTGGATCCGAAATCAAGCCAATCCTCCCATGTCTGGATTTGAGCTCCCTCCTGTGGCCATAAAGAACACCTGGAAAAAAAAGGGAAGGGAGGAAAGGAGGAGGGGAGAGAAAGAGAAGAGATTTGAGATTTGTTTTTTATTTTTTTCCATTAACCCTTCACAATGCCAAGAATCCATGCAGCATCCCCAGTCCCAGCATATCTCTGGTGGGGTTTGCAGCCCCACATCACCCTCCCCATATTAGTTTTGGAGGTGTCCCCATCCCTGGGATGTCCCAGCCAGGAACTCCTTTTACTTCTCATCTTCCCAGCCCTTTTCTTTCCTGCCCCTTGGGCTCACACCAGGTAGAGGAAATCAGAAGTTTCCCCTTGGGTGAGGATTTCCCTGGCCCTGCAGCACGTATTTCCTCCAAACCAGGACTGCTGCCCAATTTTGAAAGGGCAGCTCTAACCTCGGGAGAGAGGTTCCCCCTACCAAACCTTACTGACGAGTATCAGGATGATGTCAGGAGCTTCCATGGTCTAAAATAAACAAACAGAAAAATAAAAGAATTGCTCAGGTCCTCTGCATTGGAGACCTGGGTGCAAGCAGCCCAGCTTCTCAGCTGCAAATATTGGGCTGCAACCCAAAATTAACTCTGACCACCTGGGGTGTGCATCTTATTGATCAGGGACAAAGCTGGCACTGCCAGGAAGGAATTAGGATGAATTCCCTGGCTATGGAGAGGGGCAGTGACTCTGATCCTCTTCACATCCCCATCAATACCACACCCCCTGCCCCCAAACCTGCCCTCTCCCACCCTGCTCTCAAGCTCTCCCTTCCCAAACTGCAAACAGAGGAAGCTTTCACAGCAGCCAGATGAATTCCCAGCAAATCTATGAGTTATGCAGCTAAACACAATCCTGCCTCCCAGGAGACACTTAAACAAGAGATGAAGCCCATAGACCATCCTGTGCATTTGGGAGGAGACAGGCTCCTAGCCAATAGCCAAATGCAGTTCCACATTCACCTCTTGCTTCCTTTCCTCTCCATATATTAAAGTTTTGCCTCTGCATTGCCTCTTTTCTGAAAAATCCTTTTTTTTTTTTCTTCTTTTTTTTTTTTTTTAATTTTTCTTTTCCTGGGGAGGAAAGGGTTAGGGAACTGGAAAGTCAGATCTGCTGTTTGCAAACTGGGTTTCAGCCCAGCTTCAAATCGCTGCAGCCTCTGCCAGCAGATTCCTGCGTGTCTGTTAGACCTGACACTAATCAGCATGGAGTCCAAATGCGTTTGCACTTAAATTTTTTAGGAGTCGGATCCCCACTCCCGACGGCGCTTTGTAGCCTGCAGAACTCTGCAGTGCAACCCTCCCCGTGCCAGCCTCGGGGGCTGGATTTCAGGAACAGCAGCCTGCTTAGTGGATGCAAAGCACCGCTCGGTTGCAAGGAAAACCACAGGCATCAAGCAAACATCCTATAAATTTCCGGAGAGGTCATCCTGATTAGCAGGAGGGGTTGCCTGCAAATGACTGTGAATGTTTTAAATATCAGCTTCGGTAAGTGAAACATACTTGCTGAGTCTGTGAGAGGGAGCAGAGAGTCTCAGATCTTTTGGTTCATCTCTCCCTCGCTGTAGGGCAGCTCATGCTGTTCAGAAGTGGGCACAGCCTTGGTAAAAGCCCAAGTCTACCCGACCTTCCCACCACGAGCCAGACAGGATCACCCTAACCTTTGGTCCAGCCCATGAAGGAAGCTGCAGGAGCCAGCAGCGCCTCCATGGCAACGAGATGAGGAGGAGACAGGGCTGGGAGCTGATGGAGAGCATCAGGATCTGGCCCCTGGTAGTGACTTCAGCTCCTGGTATCCAGCCCAAGCCTCCTGCCCTCCACAAACCTGACTTTTCTCACGCCGGCCACATCCCTGTTACCGAACGAAGAGGTGGAAAGCACAAAACTCACCCTCCCCTTGCCCCTTTTGGGGAAAAAAGCACACCGTAAAAGCCAACAAACTTTAACTAAACAGGCCCGTTAATGGGACGCTGTGTTACGGTTGTTAGGTCTCAGAATTGATTTCCCCTGAATGTGGTCCCATCTGGAGGGTTTCACCATAAGGAGCATAAACATATTTTTTTTCTCCTTCAGCTGATTCTTACTGAAGTAGGAATCTTTCCTTAAAGCAACCCCCCATCTAAACTTGCACTTTTGGCCCAACACACGTGGGGATGAAGCAACGGGCAGTTTTTCAGATGCTACATTCCAGCAAGGAGATCGATCCGCCACGCTTTAATCCCCCAAGGGGGATGCACACAAGAGGTTACAGCCTGCGGCTGGGGAGTTGATAATAATTGCATGAAAAGACAGATTGTCCCGACCTGGAAAACCCCGTACCTATGGCAGACGGGTTAATTTGCCCTTATTCCTCTGGTAGTTGCCACGTCTGGTTCCTAAGTAGCCCGGCTCTCTCTGCTATGCTCCTTCTTCCAGCAGGAGATGGGACCAGCAGAGAAGCCTTTGCTGGAGGAAATTTTGAGGACAGCAGGTGACTGTGAATTACCTTGGGCCACCCCTTGTTTGAGTTTTTCAAGGACCATCCAAAGGGCAAAAATGTTGCCCTCTTTATGCGTGTACCCATTGTAAGACAAGTTTTCATCCCAAGCAACTGCAGAACGAGGCTGATAAGTTTGGTCCAAAAGACTCCCCCATCCTGATTTCCTTGCACATGTGTCCAAGGTGGTCAAGTAAAAGGTTTTAATAAGAGATTTGAACCACCGGCATGGCCCATGCACCTTCACATCACTGCCCAAAGCCTTAGCAGTCTTTTTTGTACTTCCTCTTGCTGAGCATTCCCCATCCCATCCTAGCATCCACGGGGACAGGCAGGGTTAGAAACAGAACCAGATCGATCTTTGCAGCTTAAACAAACCTAGGCAGGGACTGAATCACACATTACATATAGGACCTGGACTGCTTGAGGGGTTTAATCACCTAGTTTGCACTGCTCCGTGTGACTTTTGGAGCCTGCAAGCCTTGTCGAGCTGTAATGGTGAATTCACGGTAATGGTAAATCAAGACAATTTGGGTCTGAAGCTGGAGATTTCCATCACTCTCACACCTGCTTGCTTTTGGCACACATCCTCGTGCCCCAGACACATTTCACCCCTACCCCAGGGGTTTTGCAGGATGCGTGTGCTGCCCAGCATCCTTCCCCACAGCAAGGGCAGCCTCACTGCCTGGGCATCCACCCTCTCCTCTCCTCTGCTGGTGGCAGGGGGCTCTCGGCGCAGCAGCAGTCTGGGTCTGGCCAATGGAGGGCACTGTTAGACACGCACACAAACACACACACACATTTTATAAAAAATAAAATAATAAAAAAAATCAAATCAAATCAAAAGAAAAAAAAAAAGCAAAACCACGACTGAAGAAAGTGCATCCTTCCCCGCTGCTGGCCATAGGATCTCTCCAAACACCGATCTGCCAAACCTCAAATCCCTTCTCCCCTGCCCGTGGGCTCAGCTGTGCTATCGTCCAGGATTTACCTCCCTCTGCTTTTCCTCCTCCTGACCTTGGCACACGGCTGACACCCCAGCGGGGTGAAAACCACTCTCATCAAGCTAATCTTCCTTTCCTGGAGCTTCCCATTTTCCTGCGAGAAATCCCCCGATATCAAACAAAATATCCCTTTTGCTGGAGGCGGAAAGCCACCTGGCCCTGAAAAAGCTCAGTCCCTTGTCACTGCGAGAAAACAGGGGAAATGAATATGCCCTGGCCTTATTCACAAAGATCTGCTAGCAGAAGGGAAAAAAAAATGCTGCAACCACTTGGAAATTTTCTTCTTGCTACAGAAGAGAGGGAGAGAAGCGCGGTGGAGGTGCCTGGAGAAATATCCTGGCATCTGTCACCCAACAGTGCATGGGGATGTCAGGAAGGGCTCAGACCTGGCACCTAGAGAGGGATGGAGCTTGGACCAGTCCTGGAGCAGCAAAACTTCCATAAATTCAGTGCTTAAAATCAGGTTTTTGCTTAATATATTTTTTTTAATGATCCATTTTCCCTCTCTTCTGCCTTCTGCAAGGATTTCCCTCACTCTGATCCTTCCCAGAAAGAGTTATCTGCAAAGATTTGCCTTTATTTTCTGGCAAAGCAGAACCTGGTGGAAACCAGGACCCAAAGGGGAAAGAGGATGGACTGGTGGGTATTGCAGGACGGGGAAATCCTTTAGGTCTCATCCTGATTTCAGTGCACATCCACCCTCTAGAGGGATTTCAGGTGTGGGAAACATCCTGGAAAGGATTCCAACCCATCACATCTCCCTTGTGGAACTGCTCCAGCTCTCTAGGTCAGGTCTACCTCTGAACCAAATCCTGAGAGCTGGACTTGGCCAAGACCCCTTTGGGAAGCAGACGAAGGTCAGATAGCCAAGGGTCCAGCCCCATTCCCCTCCTGTTGTTTCACATTTTTTCATGGACCCCTCACTACCTGGCAGATTTATTCTGCTGCTACAGAGATCATCCTGCTCATTCCCTCCATCCATCTCAGTCTCCTGAGTGCAAGTAAAGCCTGATGCTCACCTGCCTGCCGTGTTAATAAATGATACTCACACTAGCATCCTTCATCCCAAATTTCTCTCAGCTCCATCCTGTAAAGGTACACGCTTTGGGGGTGGACTCTGGTAGATTGGGACAGCCTACAGGAACAGCATGAATAGGATGGGGAATATTTGATGCTGTGATGGGGATTTGATTGTGGGTCAAAGTCCCCTTCCCATTTCAATTTTCAGAGAAGAGGGGAGCTGGGGAGTGGGCTGAGAGATAAAATGTAGAAATGGATAATGCTGGGGTGCTCCAAGAGGCTTTTAACTGCTTTCAGGAAACTCCAAAGCTCCTAAGCCTTGACTGAACCATCCCATGTCTGACTTCCTTCAGCATCGGCCAGATGGAGAGACACTGCTGGAAAGAGCCAGAGGGCAGATTTTAATCCTGACTGCAGGATTGGTGCTTGCTCCCATTTAAGCGCCTCTGCCTATCCGTGCCTCAGTTTCCCCACCTGCAAAAATGGATGTAAGAAGCCTTCTCTGTTTTTCTTCATTGATCTG